GGGTGGATGACATCATACCACTCAATTGTTTCAACCCCTGACCTCTTTTTTTAGGGTGTTTGTAAAATAACTTTACAGTTACGCTGAAAACAACTCAGTTCTTGATGCCCTGCATTTAATTTGGTGTGCCATTTATGTTCGTTGTTTTCAACCAAACTGTCTAGAAATTTACAGACTCCCTGTATATCATATATATATCTCCTTTGTTTTTCCTTAAACTAAAAAGAGTAACTTAATGAATGTATTATACTCTGTCTTGATTTGCTTTTCAATTTTCCTTTTGTTCTAATCTGCCAATTTTGTTTGATGCTCAGTTCATTTGTTGTAGTAGTGTTTCAGGCCATGGCAAATAATATTTTAAAAAGATTGAAACTGTTGCGGATCTGTCATCAAAATTTGAGGCCATTATTGTAGACTGTGTTATGTTCCAGGTGCTGTCAGGCTTACTCTGGCTGTAATTTCAAAGTATTTGAAAATAATTTCTTTTAATAATAATAGAATGAAGTGGGAAAGAAAAGAGAAGAAGACTATCTGGTTGTGGTCAGGAGTGATTGGATTTATATGAATTGGCTCCAACTAACACTATCTGTTGACTGGTACATTTTACATACATTCTCATGATTCCGACATTACTGTTTCAAGGAAAGCAAAAATGTTTAAAGGCTATCATTCTTTCGCATAGATTTTAAAAGATATTTTAAAATTTGTATAGACTTGAATAAAATCCATTCACTTTCTGTTATTGTTTGCCTATCCTATGAATGAATGAATTTCTGACCTGTACATTGCAAAGGCAAGGTTTTTTTATCTCTCCCACTGTTTACTCCAGTTGACCAGTCCATAACATTAACTTTTATGCCCTGGACTGTCTCAGGATGGAGCTTTTGAATGGAATGGTTTGATTTCTTTACTTTGATCGGTACTGCCTAATATGGCTACCTGTCTAAGACAATCACTTTTCTACTCGACAATCAGTGGCCATCTCAGACAGTTTCAATTGTACTTTTAAACGAGTTGCCTTTCCCCTCTGTCTATTGTAATGTCTGTAGTGTGGCAGTGAGGTGCTTGCTTTTGCACTCAGAAGATGTGACTTTCTGGACTGAAGAAAATTTTTATCGAGTATCTCCGTCTGTCTGCTGAGAAGCTGCGTTCCTCTCAACCCTGGTTACCCTAGCAGCCAGGATGGAAGTAGCTTACCTTGTAAAGGATATAGATTGTGTCATTGGGAGACGTTGAACGTCTACCAATACTACAAAACGTACATTTTGTCTCAGGTGGTGAAGGAAGAACAGCATGGTCTGGGCATCAGCATCAAAGGAGGCAAGGAGAATCGCATGCCGATCCTCATCTCCAAGATCTTCAAGAATATGGCCGCCGACAAGACGGAGAAGCTGTATGTTGGAGACGCCATCTTGTCTGTTAATGGAGAGGACTTGAGGGAGGCCACTCATGATGACGCCGTCAAGGCCTTGAAGAAAGCCGGGAGAATTGTGGAGATGGAAGGTGAGACATCAACAAATTCTGTGCTCAGTTCTGAACTGCTTTCTTAGTGAAGTTCTTGAACAGAATTAAGCTTATATTTTTGTGTGTCTTCTTTAAAGCTTCTAATATTTATAATTATTTTATGCTTTAACAGAAAGAAGACAATATACTTGGCTGTGAATAGATTTGAGCCTCTCTTTTACATGCTGTTTTTAAAACTTGAGAATGAGCTGTGTGCCTTTCTTTAACTCATTTTGTATCTGCCAACTTTTTTCCCAATAAAGTACTTGTAGGAGCTCACAATTTTTCTGTCATTATATTTTGTGTGTGAATGAACTGTATATTTTTCTTTGGCTTTTTATATATATATATATTTGTCAATTTATGCTGGGTTTTTTTTTTTTAAACTTGTGAATAAACTGAATGCTTTTCCTTAGCTGATCTCTAGCTCATCTTTAACTCATTATATTATATATTTGCAAATGTTTTTCTGCAGTGAAGTACTTGAGAGAGGTGACTCCATACTTTCGAAAGTCGTCTCCCCTGAACGAGCTGGGCTGGGGCACGCAGGACTCTGCTCACAAGGACGGCTCCAAAGCCAGCTGGTCAGAGACAAAGACGCTGCCGCTGGCCCTGTGCTATCTCTGTCGTAATTTGACTGTCGCCGATGCCGAACGCCGGTCGCTGGAGCTCCACTCGCCAGACGGGAAGGGTGTGTGCACGCTGCGGTTCCCTGACCCAGCCACGGCCAGCGATTGGTTCAACGCTCTCCATTCTAACGTGATGATGTTGACTAAACAGGCTATTGATGACGCCAACAAAATGCTGAGCTCCGCCCCCAATCAGAATGAGATTCGGCACATGGGTTGGCTGTCAGAGCAGGTAGGCAGATTTGTGGTTTTTATATTATGTATCTCAATATCACTCCCTCCTTTGGCTTATGAGTGTGGGTTTCATAGTACCTAGCTGGAACCACATTAAGATACAGCAGACATTAATTGTTGAAAGCTATACTCTTGGATCATCTGTTATAGTAGAATGTCCTAAGATGCAGTATATGTTTGTGTAGTGTTGAGACTTTTTCAAAGATAATAACTAAACTGAAGTGTTGATGATGTCCTCTACTATTTGCATAGCAACTGCACAAAATGAATCTCTTGAACCGCTCAGCAGTTTCAAGACATCAGGTGGAACCTCAGTTTTCTCACAACTGCATATTTGTGACTCCGCGACTTGAAATAACAAAAATTGTGGCGCCAAAGAAGCTAGATTAACCCTCGTCCTGCGGGGGCCGGGTTTATTTCGCCCAATAAGCCTATTTCGGCTCCTCGCCTGCGTTCTGGTCCCGCGTCAGTCTAGCCCCTGGCTAAGTGCATGTGCGTCGAGCATCATCTCCCCTTCAATTCGGGTCCCGCATTGGATCGGCATTCACGCAGCTCGAGTGTGTGTGCATCAGTCTGCTTGAGTTTGTGTGCGTTTGTGGCCTTCTTCTAGAACCGCCTGCGTTGGTTCGTAATCGAGGCATACGTCTCATTCAAACATGCCAAGTTGGTAGCTCTAGATGTTCGTCCAATGAAATTATAGAACAAATTGACCCTCTTAGACATGAGGAGCTCGAAAGGATAGTCAGGAAACAAGACTTCCATTTTTCTACACAAAATCTTTCAAATGAGCTTGATTTTGTATGAAATGATACTACCTGATAAAACATAAGCTTATTTTATAATTTTGAATACCATTGTGCTGGTGCAATGAACATTTTGAGTGCAAAACATTCGGAAATTGACCTATATTATCCCCTTTCGAACCCCAGGTCATTCATAACAACAAGAGCGTCTTTTGTTTTTGTTTTTGTAAAGTGCTTTACAGTGCTCACAACTGCATAAGGTCACATGGGCGTGCGGGACACACCTAATGTTTTCATTTGGTAGGAAATTTTGAATTTTGCCCGGGTGGCGGCCGAAGCCTACTCTTATTGATTTTAAACCACCAAAGGATCTTTAGCGTGTGCAACTTGCACACGGGACCTCCAAGATTTTTTGCCCTTGTCCGAGAATGCTAGGTGTAGATCTTTCCTACCAGAAGATAGGGGTGTGGCTGAAAGACAGCAGTAAGAGGAAGCAAAGGAGTAGCAGTAGAAAGGCTGCAGAAAGAATCAGGAGCCCAGAGGAAGGGGCAAAGGAGGTGAGGGGGTGGGGCAGAAAGAGGAGACGAAAGTAGACGATAGAACATTGCTAGAGAGCAGGAAATGAGGTGAAAGGAGATAAATTTAGAGAAGAAAATTTTTAGGTTGCTACCCGGATTCTAACCCGGGACCTTTGAATGGCCAACACCTTAACCTCTAGTAGGCCACGAGAGCCCCCTGGAACGTCTAGAAAGGTTATTCGAATGGGCGTAAGTACTTGTAATGTCTTATTGACTTATGAGAGAGGATTATCCATGTGTTTGTAACACTTTATAAATAGAAAGCTATGAAAGACACAGCGTTATTTTCATCATCGATTAACACACTACCGCGGTATTCATTGCGAAAACACGTTTCCAGGCGCGTGTGCTGTACACCAACCGTACACACTGAATGACCCCGGCGGCCTCCCCGGAACGTCCGACGTAATCGGTTGCTGATAAGATTCGCATCTCAGCACAGACGCAGGACAAGAGTTAATACTGTTCTCTCTCATTCGTAGAACTTGAACGGATTTTAAATTTGGTACACGTCGTGTTTTACAGAAGACCGTTTGTGTTAAATGGCATTAATGGTCTAGTGATTACGCTCTCAAAGACTCAGCTGTAAGGTCATGGGTTTAAAATTCCATCAGGGGCCCGTCTTTGTGTCCTAAGGAAAGATTTGAATTTTCCTTATTTCACATAGGTGGAAATAGTACCTGGCTATTGACAGCAAAAGGTCCTGTTAGTTTGTTAGTGTTTTAACCCTCAAAATCCACAGCTTGCACTGTATGCTTTCAGGGATATCAAGAAAGTTTCTGAGTTACATGCTAGGGTCTGCTGGGGTAACAAGTGAAGCGCATAGCAGGCTCTAGTCAGTTGAAAAATTATATAGTGAGAGTTCCTTTCAAATTATAATGGGACTGCCTTTAACTTGAAGGAAGGGGGCCCTACTAAGTCACATACATAAAAATCAGTTGTACTGCAGGCTGAAGAACCAGCAGGCTACCCCACAGATTTAGCAGAGGATTGCAAAGAAGTAGAAGCAGAAGATCAAGACTGGTAGTCCATTGTGGCTGGGAATATGGCACCAACAGAAAAGATGAACACTGCCATAATGATCGATGACACAGTGTTATATTGTCAAAATATAACCAATAATTCATATATTGCCCTGTTGCTCTCTCTTTCCCTTCAGCTGAGTGGTGATCAGGGTGCCTCCCTGTGGAAGCCTGTGTTCATGGCTCTCACAGACAAGGACATTCTTCTCTACGACACGGCACCTGTCAGCAGGGAGGAGTGGGCCACACCCTTCCAGTCACACCCACTGCTAGCCACCAGGTAAGACTCTCAGACTTTTTTTTGTTTTTGATAGCGATAGTAAATAGCATTTGTATAGCACACATTCACTACTCAACCGCGAGCTCTGTTTGCTTTACAATCTGTATTATTTTCTTGGTGAAGGTCTACTGCAGCTCTCTGTTCAATTGTCTTTCGGGCATGACGTTACGGCTACCTTCATGTTGGCCCCAATGAGAGAATGGAGACCCCAGATGTGCATGGTGGGTTAAGTAACCTAGCTACAGCAGACCTGTTGGTACCATTACCAGCGGCAAGGTTAAAGGGGGGAAGTCCATGTGATGCTTGTTCTATATCCCTATCAGTGTTCTGTGTTCTCATTGAAATTATTACAGTATTCCCTTGAATATTATGGGGATTACATCCCAGAGCCTTCCTCGACAGGTAAAAATTGGTTAATTAGAAACTGTATATACCCTGTGTGTTTTACACTTTTATAAACTCTCCCCCTCATTCTTGGAAACCTCGCCCACACTCTTATAAGTACTTTTCACTCTTTGGGTATGAGAGACCAACTGTATTAAAAGATAAAACATGTTAGTTTACAATTTTACCAAAAAGATAATGTTTCATGTGTGTCAATACAACTTCATAGCTTTCCTATTTTGGGGAAAAAACCCCCTGCAATGTACTGAGTCTGCAAAATGTGAACCCCAATGTGATAAGGAAATGCTGTGCTGCATTTAAAGTGGAAACAAATTCAGTGTTTTTTTAATTAAAGGATTAAACTAGGCCATAGTGCCAATACGTCTGTGACTATTTCTTTAGGTCACCCTGCAGGGAGGGAGAGAGGAAGGGGGTGAAATGAGGGGAAAAACACCCTGACATACATTCAGTCAAAAAATGGTTGTTGCGACGTGCATACAGTCTCAAAGTTTTTGATGCGACGTGCATACAGTCTCAAATTGGCCGTCTTGACATGCATATGGTTGCAATGTGGTGCAATCGTCAGCTCTCAACTCACTGCTGCAGCTGATAAGATAATCTTATATTTAAATTTTGTTGGAGGCCTTAGAACACTCGAGTGCCGCACTCTTTTTATTCAAGCATGTTCATTTGCTTGCAAATTTATACTGGCTGCTTCTGCTACAGTAATTTTATTTGTCTGTCATTAAATTGTTCTCAAAATTAACATGTGTACCTCTGAAGTGATGCCCAGCGAGTGGTTTACTTTTTTTTTTCCATTACATACTTAATTGTCCCTCATACTAATCATCACAAATGCCCCATCCAACTGTGATGTGGGTATTTTTCCATTATCTTGCTGATCCTTATTTCCTTTCCTTCTTTTGTTTCTGCCTGTCTGTTTTGCTCTTTTTCAATAATAAATGACCGTTGTAGTATCCATGTACGTCTCTTTGCCTCAAACAAATGTTAAGAAATAGAAGTTTGTGCCAGAGACCAAGTCCATAGTAATGTGACATCATCCAACTATTATTACAGATTTGTTTTCTTTTAATCCTCTCCTAGTGGGTGGTTGGAGGGCACCACTGGTAGACTGCTTCTTTACTTTTCATCTGTTAGTTCTGTCTGTCTTTCTTGATATTTCCCAGCTTTCAATGACTGTTATTGTGTCAACGTGCGTCTCTTTACTCACACTCAAATTGAATGTTCTTAATTAATAATGAGAGTAAATGACATTCATATAGTTCTTTACACCGATTAAAGTGCACAGGCTCTGAGTGCTTTGCAATACAACAGTAACATATATACAGTACATTGTGTTCTGACAAAAGCCTCAATAAACTCATCCCCCGGGGCAGTGCCATTGACTGAAGTGTCTTTAGGCCATCCCCAAAGGGGGGACATTTCTCGTTCATGCACAGTAGAATTGTAAATGGACTGATTCACCAATGTCACGCTCATAACTGTGCCTGATCTACAACAGGAAACTGCTGCTTTTTCTTTCCTAATCCTTACTATTGTCATTTTCCTCTACTTCTTTTGTATGTTTGTCACACTCTTGTGACACACTGTTTCCGGGGTGCCTTGATAGTCGAAAGACTTTGTGCTGTTGAAGCTAGAGAGGTGAGCATAGTAAGCTTGATTCCCTGTAAGGACTTCTCTGTTGACCTCCACCCCTTGGCACTCATATGACCTTATGCAGTTGCGAGTGCCGTAAAACCTCTACTGAAACTAAACCAATAAACTCTCTCTAACTCTAAATGTTTATCTCATCAATTTAAAGGCAGAAATGAATTTTGCTGAAATTTGAATGAATTAAAGGAATTGATCTCTCTTAAACTACTGGACAAAGCATTCCAGATCTTGGGGCCTTGATATTCAAATACCCTTTCACCCATTGATATAAGTTTCAAAGATGGAAAAAGAAATTTCTGCGGGTGGTTGGTGGGTGCTCTGGTGTGGTTTGCTCCTTCTTTCCTATAAAAAATCTATCGTCTTTATCTCCCCTCCTTCTTTTTTATATTTGTTTCTTTCTTGTAACACCTCTAGTCTTCGTCACTTACATGACTTTATTGTGTTGCAAGTGCCGTAAAACTCTTACTAAAACTAAAAAAAGAAATTTCTCTTTACTCGAACTCAAACTGCCTGTTCTTTTCTTTACTCACACTCAAACTCAGACTCAATGTTTTTCTTTTTATTCAGTCGATTGTTTCTTATCAAACATCCATCATCTTTATCTCTCATCCTATTTGTTTTTTTGTATGTATTTCTCTAGTAACATCTCTAATCTTTCGACGCTTGTGTGACCTATTTGTGCAGCAAGTACTGTAAAACTCATTCTAAACTGTTTACTTCAACTGGTTTCCTCAGACTGGTGAGCGTGAGCAAGCCTAGCAACCAGCTGGTCGGTGCCGACATCATGTCCTTTGGTACAAGGTCAGGGTCAAGGACAGGCGTGGAGCTGCACATCTTCCGAGTGGAGACACAGAGAGATCTGGCCTTCTGGTCGCGGGCACTGGTGATAGGATCACATGGGGCGGCTCTGGTCACCAAACAGGTGTCATGTTGTAAGTACAGAGGGAGGGGGTTTGGAGGATGAGGGGAGGAAGGAGGGAGAGAGGAGGGGGGAGGGTGGATGGAAGAGGGAGAGAGAGAGGCACAGAGAGATCTGGCCTTCTGGTGCTAGGGCAGGCTCTGGTCATCAAGCAAGTGTCCGGTTGTAAATACCCTGGGAGAGAAAGGGGAGGGGGGATGAGAGAGAGAGAGAGGAGGATGGAAGAGGGAGAGAGACATGTAGAGATTTGGTCTTGTGTCGAGGGCATTGGTGATAGGATTTAGTTGTTAAGTAGGTGTTCTGTTGTTAGTAGGGAAAGAGGGGGGGGGGGGGGGTAGTCAGAGTTGGAGAGAGTGAGAGAGACAGAGAGAGAGACAGAGAGAGAGAGAGACAGAGAGAGATAAAGAGATAAAGAAAGGAGGAACGGGGATTGAAGAGGGAGAAAGAGACATGGAGAGACATGTCACCCGTGTCAGACATGGGGGCCTTCTTACCCTCATCGGCATGGCGGGCGTGCCTCCATTTTCATGAACAATATGAGCTCCCACCCCACTCCCCATGAGCTCTTGTGTTTTAAACACCACCCTGCCACCATATTTCAGAGGAAGCTTGTAGATTTCCTCTTAAGACTGCCGAGACGCCTCCACATGAGTCTCGAAAAGTACTCACCCGTGCCCGTCTGATGAACTGTGCATGTCTTGCCCTTGAGGTTCAGTGTCCGAGAGTGGGCACACAACTCCCCTTTTGTTTACGTGAGGTCATCAGTGCCACGACCTCTGGTGCTTAATATAACCTCTTTGTGAGTGTATGTAAAGGAGTTGTCTCCCACTTGCAAGACGTGACTTTAAAGGAGATCTCTCCCAACCCCCCCCCTCCCCCTTCTTTTCTGTGTTTGCAAAATGTTTTCCAGCGGCATGGTACCTGTTGTGCAGTGATAGGGCCCTTCTCCACGGCATGCTGAAGATGTAATTGCAAGTGAGAACATTATTTTATCAAGCTTCTCCATCTATCTGCTGGGACATGATTTCCTTCTCTGCCTAGATGGACTCTGGCAGGGAGGGCTGAAACAGCCTGCCTCCGAAATGATCTAAATTGTGGCCATGGGGGCATAAAACCTCTACAAAATTCGCTGCTGATCAAACGCGGATGAATCCAATAGTGTCTTAAATAATTCACGAATATTGGCACTGCAGAAAATGGGGTGGGGGGGGGGGGGGGGGGGGTGGTATGATCGAAATTGTGTCGATGGAGGCGTAAAACGCGTTGTAATCAATCTATTTCCAGCGGCAGTGTGGAAGGGTAAGAAGACGAAACTAACCGTGCACTACGAGGACGGGTTCACCCTGAGTGAGGAGCCAGACGGGGGCGAAGGTCAGGGGGACGTGCTGTGGTCACACCCATTCGAACATCTACGTATGTCGTCTGACGATGGTCACCGGCTGCTTGGGCTGGACTTTGCTGATGTAGGAGAGCAGGTCAGTATGTGTGTGTGTGTGTGTGTAAGGGAGGGGGAGGGAGGAAGAGGAAGGAGGGGGGAGGAAGGAAGATAGTGAGTACATTGTGGTGGATTCGCACCCTTGGCTTTTGGTAAATTTTAATAAAAGTTAGAATTGATAACAGTACTTATACAGGTCGTATCAAAAGTAACTGCTGTTATAAGGAGGGGGGGGGGGGTGGAGAATTGGGGAGTATTGGGTTTTTGAATTTTGGTTTTTAAGTCCTATCAACCGAAATCAATTCCATTGATTTTCCTGAACATCCAGAGTTTATTAATTCTTCTGTCATTCAGAATTGGTTTAAGTTTTTGTATCACTGACAATTTTTGGATGCAGATCTTTCTCATTCACCATGCCCAAAAAAATAACCATCAGCAGCATTGGAGAAGCAGATAGTGAGATTGAATGCAGAAAAAGCAGATGCGTTGTAGAGAGATTTGATTAACTTTCATGATTTGGAAAGTGACTTGGATTCTAGATCCAAAGTTGTTGGTCTCCATGCGCTGCCACTTGAAAAATGTTTTCAGATGTCAAATTCTCATAAAGAAAAGAAGTATAATCATGTCTATTTTTAACTTGACCAATATTTTTTTATGAACATGGAATTGCCGGACTGGATGGAAATGTGTATTTAATTTAACTTGGGATGGTAAACACAACAGGCTCTGTGTCATTCTGGCAGAAAGGGTGAGCGAGAATGACATTTTACCTATCATTCTGGCCAATAGGAGTTAATAATTAATAATGAGAATAATAATAACAGCAACACATCTTATCATGTCAAGGGAGGGGTATGGCTCTAATGATAAGAACAATAATAATCACTATGATAATAGTAAAAATTACAATGCAAATCATGTCAACAGTAATGGAGACAGTGGTGCTAACAGAATACATTTATATCTTTGATAGTGTGTATCTCTTCCTCGATGTATGCTGTCTGTTCTTTACAATTGAATTTCTCAATGGAAAGAGGAGGGGTCATTATCGAATTAAAAAAACAACTTTTGTTTGACTTGTAAAACAGTGAAACAGGTTTAATTGAGGTATGGAGTTAGATAAATAATAATAAAATGTCAGAAGGAAAGGTGGTGTTGTTCTGTGTGATGAACCTATTTTAAATATAACAGTTGTATACATTATGTTGCTTTGTTAAGTGAAACAGTTTCAGAATTAAATATCATTTAAATTTAATAAAGTTAATTTTAAAAATTCTATTTTCAGGAATTGGACCTGAACACGTGCCCTAAGCCGATAGTGTTTGTCATTCACACCTTCTTGTCTGCAAAGGTCAGTCGTATGGGCCTTATTGCATGATGAGTACTCTGCTGAAACCTAGAGAAGTGCAAGAAAAGGGACCTTATGGACGTGTGAAAATGTAACTTGTTGCTCTTCTGGCCTCTGGAATTGGCACCGGTGACGACATACAAAGAGCAGAACTAACAGGCATTGACTTGAGAACTCAAGATTTATATTTTAAAAATTTTAATGAGAGTTTGGCTTGCTAATTGTGAGTTGTAATTCCTTTGCCCAACCTGTCTGTGCTGCCAAAATATCTGGCCTTTGCCTGTCCCAGCATTCATTGAAGCATAAGGTGAAAGAGCTCCAGCGGAGACCATCGCTTATTGGTAAGAATGCAAGTGTGAGACATCACAGCAGTTTGCCAGAATGCTTGCAAGCTGTTACACTATCATGAGACCTGATTCTGTCTATCTTTTTACCCTCCACTTTCCTCTTGCATAATTTCCTCAGAAGGTTGGTTCATGGTTATGTGTAATCTCTGTTCCAAGCATTTTGTTGTGTTTGAGCGATGAAGCAGTATGATATTGTAACATGTTTAGACGCTGTTTATTGTTTATGACAGTTTACATTAAGCCGCACAGACTTGATGGGTTTGATCTGAACTGTGTCAATGGAGGTCTATAACATCTACAATTTATTTATCGCTTTCTTCCCTCGGCTTCAAAATTAAAAAGAATAAGATGATAATTACAGTCAAATGCACCAAGCTGCTGTGTGGAGCACAAACTGCTACATGAACCGCCTAAGCTCAATAAGCTCCAGATGCAATCACCTGTCTGTTTGATGATGCCTTTTCTGTCGTGTATGCATGATGTCCCCAATGTTAAGATTCTATTGTTTACTGACTCTCTGTGCTAATGAATAATTACCCAAGTAGAGCTTGTGTATAAGATGACCATTATGTCGTCCAGATATGTTCTGTCTACAGGCAGTTGGATGGAGGGGTGCTGTCACTGGCATGTCCTACTTTTTCGCTGTCTCTCTTTTGTTTCTGTCAGTGTGTCTATCCTGCTTTTTTCGCCTTCGCAAACTGACTGTTATTGTGTGGGTGAAATTCTCTCTGTTCGTAAAACAAACAGTCCCCTCTACTGATATCAAAGGGGTCAGGCCTAGTGCCTTGGCTATCTGCTCAGAAACTGTGGTATGATATCAGTTTTGATTTAGAGAAGGCTGTACACATCACCAGGCCCGTAGGATTGGGTTCTGTGTGTAACACAGTATCTTGCCTCCTTCTTCAATCGTTTGTGGGCATTATTTTTTACATAATGTATATTGTCTGTTTTCTTTTCCTCTTACATTTATTCTCCCCCTCTCTCTGACAGAATATTGTACCTCTCTTGAGTTGGTTTCTGCTGCATGTTTATTGTGTGCGTCTCTGAATGAAATATTCTCACGTGGAGTTTGTTCATGGCAGAGACTACGGGTAGCATTTGGATTTGTGTCCACTTGAAATCTATTGCTGTTGAACTTTGCCCTCACAAAGACTTTTGGTGTCTACTGACTGAAACATCTGGTCAGGACATTGTCATGTTGATTGCAGCTGGAGCTTGTAATCCTTCCTTCTATTGACATGTGAATGAAAAAGGGAATGGAATTAGTCACTCCAGAGTGCCTGTGGTGTTATGGTTGGACTTTTCATTGTTGCATGCAAGAGAGTTTGATTCCCAAGTGAGAAGTTGTTTTATTGAGCATCACCGTCTGACTGTTTGGATGCTGTGTTTCACTCAGCCAGGGGTTGGCTCTGACTTGCCAGGTTGAGGCTACCGGCTCCGTTAATTGTCTAAACTGTGTTGATGGAGGAGTAAAATATTTACAATCATTTGGAGAGGGTGAGGAGTGGGGAGGATATGTTACAATGGAATCTGTAATAAATGCTGAATGTGATGGCTTTTCTGGAGAGATACTGAGATGTAGGTTCTCAACCTTGCTAAAAACGTACGGCTAAGAAAAATGATATGTTTGCATATATACTCATTGTTAGTGAGCAGAGGATGATCGTTACACTCATCTTTTTTCTTCCTGAAATGTCTATGGGCTAGGATGGTCTTTTACACGATATTTGTCCAAAAGTACGGGGGAGGAAAAAATGTAAAAAATTTAGTTTTGAGTGTTTTAAAATGTATGTGATGATCCTTGATGAGGGTGAGGAATGGTCTTGTACCTAAGAACTGAATTGTAAAACGCTCTATACTTGCAAATGTTGATTGAATGAGACTTCTTACTTCGAAATTTCTTAAGAGAAATGCTGAATTTTTGTGCAAGATTTTTCCATCTGCAGTATTCCCTCACCATATTGTGGTTCACATCTCGCAAACTGGCTGCTTTACTTTTTTTTTTCTTGCTGAAAATTGGAAAATAAGGTAAGCTCCCTTGACACACTATTAGCTGAGTTGGGACCAATCTTTATTATTTACAAATACATACAAATCTTTTATTTAAAAACTGTTGGTGTCTCATACTTCAAGTGCAGAAAGTGTGTATAAGAGCTTGGGGAGGGTTTATAAAGGTGTACAATAACGGATATATCATTTCTAGTATGTGGATTTGTCCCTTTCGTGGGAGATTCAGGAACTAACCCCCGTGATATTCGAGGGAATGCTGTATATCTATGGTGCTATCTCTCCATGTTTTCAACATCTTATGTTTGGTGTTGACAAGACTGTTGACCTGCGGAGAAATCTGCTTTGTGACTGCTCGTTCTTACTGCATATTATTTGTGAAGCAACATGACAAGGCGAGTCACCTGCTGCATTTTGGCAATGATATATAGCACAGTGGCTGTCAAACTGAAGGTCTGTTCTTGCCCTGCAAGTGGATGAAAACAGTATTAGTCAAGCTGCTTTGATTCCAAAGCTGTAGTCACTTGAAGTTGGGATGTCAGTAACTGAGTAACATAGTCATGAGAAAACCAGAGATTTTTCCCCCAGTGTTATGTAAGGCAGAGTGCTTCAAGCAACTTACTTTGTCATGCTGCTACACATCTGAGTCCTTTAGGGATGCTCTCTCCCATATATATGGAAATGATGCTCAGTGTGTATATGTGTCACGACGTGGAGGAATCAGGCGCTCATCAATTCTTGGGCATGTGGAGTTATTGGTATTATCTGAAAGTTAATTCATTTGCCTTGCTTTCTATTTAAGAAATACCCATCTTTCTTGAATAGATCGATGACAACAAGAACAGCTTGAATAGAAGTGGAAATATTTGCGATTAAAAGAGTTGGGGGTTGTCTGGGTCAAATCAGTGAGAAAATGGCTGCCGAAGTTTGACAACTTGAATAGCTTGAGAGTCCTTGAAAAACAGAAGGTCTATAAAAATTGCTCAACTAGCAGAAAATGCCTATTTCTCTAATTTCATTATTTTGACGAGTGCCTGGTTTCACCACAATGCCTCACATATTTTTATTCTGAATCTTGTGCCTTTTCCGTTGCTCTTAGGATGCGCCCTTAGGGTTGGGCGCTGAACGCATAGATAGTAAGATTTATATATTATATAATAAGTTTTGTATTACAAGCTTCTCTTGTCGGGGAAGTGGATGAACTTTTTTTTCTTCTTTTTCTTCTTGCACCATCTGCTTTTATAGTTGTTGTTGTGATTATTTTTTCCCCCTTTCTTTTGTTTTTTGTTTTTCCTCTCAAATGATAAGTCATTTGTCTGAAAAATGCCTCAAACTCAAAGAGTTGCTGAAACGCACTTAGAGTAACGTATGTATTTGTTGGTTGTATTTAATTAACTGTTTCTTGTACTGCGGTAAGGGTGACTACCTGGAGGTAGTCTTGAGGAAACTGCTGACCTGATGAAATCTGTACTGATGAGACAGATACCTGTCTGGAAAAAGGCATTGGTGTGTCAATAATAGTTACCTGTACATTTTAGTTACAAAATGGTTGTGTTTGTGAACATATTTATACCTTGTATATTTATATTTTTAAAAGTATTTCTTTATTCTCAGTTGTGTAGATCAGATATTCCATGAAAGTGAATGGTCCCAGAGAGCATTTTTAAAATATTTATGTTTCATTGTTAATTTTTGTTTTTGGCTTTTGTGACCTTAGCTCCTTTGGTACCTAACGTGTTGTGACATAGTCCCTCTTTCCCTAACCCAACAGACTGTTCCTGTATTCTGTAATTATAAACAGTCCTTGATTTGTGCAGTGACTCTTATTTTTATCCTTTGTTTTCTCCCGGGTCAATGTGTTTTTTCTGCATTGCTAAACAATTTTGATTTTCTGAAAAAGTGCACAATTCATTTATATTTTGTTTACAAATGATTGCAATGTGAATTTCATTGTTGCTTTTATGTGTACAGAAACATTTTCTTTTCGATGTTCAGCGTTGTGAAGAATGAGAACGTGAAGGCTTACTCTATTCATGGTGATATTTGCTGGATTGTGTATGCCAGATTAGATTTTATTTGAAGTACGAATGTGATTGGGCATGATTTTTTTTTTCCTGTTTTTTTTTTTTTTTTGGTTGATCAGCAAGTTACAGTATATGCGTATATAAATAGTGGGGAATACTTCTGTACTGTAAGTGTAAGAAATACTAAGTTGCTGTGAGATTTTGACTTGGACATAATATTAACGAAGAGTTTCTGTTTGCTGTCGCCTGGAAGAATTGCAGGGTTTGCAGACAATCTTTTTGAGGAGTGTGGTCTGATAAGGGAATGGGTTACTAGGTTACAGTAATACTTTTACATCACATTTTTTGTTTAAGAATATCTTTATATATAGTGTAGTGTTTTGGCACTTCGCTTCCTTGTGCTGAAGAAGCGAGTTCGATTCCCATATGGGAAAGTTTTTGTATGAGTACTATCAAGTATCTCCGTCTGTGTATCGGGACGTTGTATCCATCTCAGCCCAGATTGGCCCTGATGGGCAAGGTCAAAGCAGCCTGCCTCCCAAATGATGTAGATTGTGTCAAAGTGGGCATAGAATGTATACAATGACAATTGTATTGGATTGTATTGGCTTCTGTGGTGTCAAGTTTTAGGCTCTTCACTGTACATGCACACGGTGGGTGTTAGTTCAAGGGTTTATTGGAAAAGTTATTATAAAAAGAAGATTTCAGTCAATTATGTACAGTGTTGTATCCCACTCATCCAGGGCTGTGTCTGACCGGCTGGGTTGAAAGCAACTGGCCTCCTAAATAATCTAGATTATGTTGATGGGGGTGTAGTAAGATGTTTACAACCAAAACAGTGATTTGTGTGAGATAAGTTCCAGGGTTGGTGACAGTGCGGTCATTTCATTGAAATTGTCTCTTAGCACACAACAAAGAGGGAAAGATAACTTTGACGCAATGGAAGATTTCCCATTTCAGATTTTATTAAGTGTTTGTATGACCAGACTTTTATTTTTAATGACTGCTCTTTTCATGTGCTTGAGATGTGATACTTTTTTCCTTTACCCTATTTGAGTGTGTGACTATATATGTGAGACTATGTACACTTCCTGTTTCCCTTGTAATGTTTACAGTGAAGTCCGCTTAAATGAAACATGGTGAATCCGAAAAGAGTGATAAATTGTAGGAAAATAAAATCCTTGAGGGTTTTTTTTCTTATATTTGAGCAACCTCTCTAAACCAAAAAGCTGGCTGAACCGAAGTAAATCCGGCTTCCTGCAGATTTCGATTTAAGCGGACTTTGCTGTATTTCCATTTTGCTGTTATGTGATTAAGCGGTGAAGCTCTGTGGTCTTACAGCCAGACAAAATGAGGAACAAGGTGCGTGCACAGTGGCTGTGGAACCCTTCTCTAAAAGGACTAATGAGTCCGGTTTGCTATATGGGTTGGTGCATACACCTCAGCGTGGGGGTGGGGGTGGGGTGGGGGCTTTACATTGTAGCTTATCGGACGTGCGCCTCAGTGTTATGAGGTGTAAATGTACAAATTTTTCCCTTTGAAACTCAGGTGCTCGGACCTTTTAGGCTCAATATGTCAGGACTCAAAGGGCTAACTTTAGTTTGATGACACTTTTTTCTGTTCGCACACAAATGGGATTCCTTTTACTTTAAAGGGACTGTGTCATAGCAAGCTGACAGTCTGGATGAGCTTAACCCATTCTACCTGAGTTGCCTCCCTGAGCAGACACACCCACCTCGGCTGCCTCCAGCCACACCCACAAATTTAGGTACCCTGACTAAAACTGCAATAACTTTTTTGTTTTCAAAGCAATCACCCTCAAATTTTCAGGAAGCACAGATTAAAGATGTTGCCTGTAACAGCTAGAATTTTGTAAGTAGAGATTCAATTTTTAAAATTTCAGCTGGCATGTGTTTTTGTAAGCACAATACAAACAAAATAAGCTTTATCAAATACCAACATGCCATGAATAACTGAACGAACCCGAACCCCCCCCAAATGACGCTAAAGGTCATAAACTGAAATAGGTATAATAATGCTATCACTTACTTGACTTTCAGCAGGCAGGAGTGTTGTCTACAGCCGCTAATCCAGGGAAACTTGTCTTGTAATCCAACTGAATATAATACACTAGACACAATATTTCACCACAGATTAAGAAATGTAAAAAAAAAAAAAAAATACCGAGCACTGAAAACTGAAAATAACTACAGA